AATTCCCGTTTGCAGGTTTCTGGCTGCCCGGCGGTGTGGCGTGCGTGGAGCGAGGTCACATTGGTGCAGACTCTGTGGGTAGGACGAGAACTGCTGCCTGGAGGCAATGGCAGACTTTGGCTCCGGATGCTTGCTTTGCTGGAGGGTCAGAGGGAGGGGCGGGGCTGGCCCTGAGAGCTGAGTTTGCCTCCCACGGGTCGTTTCTCTGTTTCCCCCTTGACCCAGTCCCAGGAGGCGAAGCACGCCCCTCTCTGCGGTTCCTGGCTCCTCCTGGCAGCACTGAACTGGGTGCCCTGTGCTTGGGTGTGCCTCTCGCCCTCCCAACTTGTGTCCTCTTGCTCTCCTGGCTTTCCCCGGCCGGCAGAATCTGGGTGGCTTCCTGGCCCCACTCATCCTGTTAAGCTGTTGAGCCAGGGACTTAAGTTGGTCTTGGGTGGAGCTGACTGCTCCCGGGGCTGTCTTTGAGGGCCTGGGCCAGGCTGTCTGCTTCACGGGTGGGTGTGGCAGCCCCTCCTGGGGCAGGGGCTCCTCTGCTTTTGGTACCTTGCAGTGCAGGGACAATGGGAAGGCTTCAGGGACGCTGCTGCCACAGAAATCCACCTGGATGTCACTGTGCACAGGCTGCTCAGGGGACAGGGGACAGCCTAGTGGGAGGCAGTGGGTGGGTACGGTGGTGGCCAGGGCTCAGGCTCCAGGACATGCAAGTTCAAAGCCGTGGTACTCCCTGCCTGCTGAGGACAGGGCAAGGGAGATGTGTGGGAAGGACAAGCCGAGAGGACGTGGGGAGGGCAGGGGCACTCGAGCCCCCCCCCCCGTGGGAAATCCCGGACGGACTCCCCTTCCTTCTGCGATGGTGCGTGCTGGGGGGAGGAGAGGGTGTCGGGAGGAGCTGTGCAGGGCCAGTGTTACCTGAGGACACAGTTTGCTGATGCCGTCGGGAGGAAGCTCAGTGAACAGCCGGGCCTGCAGCGAGCATCTTAGTGACGGAGAGCTTCTGAGGGATTAGGCAATTACAAGTTCTCATCCTGAAGTTGCTCTCAGATTCTTCCTGATGTGCCGGCCTTTGGGGGATAAATAACTGTCCTCCTTTGACATTAGTAACCCTGTTTCCTCTCAGGCATGCACCTCTGGGTGTCCAGGTGTGGAGAGGCTTTTACCTCAAAGTCCCATCCATCCTCTCAGCTTTGGGGAGGCGGGCACAGGGAGGTCGCCTGGTCCAGACCAGCCGTGTGGGCCTTTTTCACAGTGGTGACCAGGTTCTTGGCAGGGTTGGCACCAGGACGGGGCAAGTGGAGGGTGCTGGGCCTTCCACTGCCTTCCTGGGGGGTGTCTTTGATGCACCTGCCTTGGGGAGTGGCACCCTGGGCGGGAGGATGGGTGTGAGCTGGCATTTTCTACTTCAGGACCTGGGAGCCCTGGGAAGTTCATGGACCTCTCAGACCTGGCTAGAGCCCCAAGACAGGCAGGGAGCAACAGGAGGGCGGGGTCACATTGTCCCCAGCCTGGGAGAGCAGTGCCACCACTCCGAGCCCTCCCATCTTGTCTCCAGATTTGAGCATAGAGGTAGGGAAGGAGACCCTCTTAGGGCTTAGACCTTTGTCTGCAATGGAAAACTCTCTCGCTTTGCATACTGATTGTTGGATTTCAGTGCCACTCACGCCTGGTGGGTGTCACTGTGGGGGTCCCGCAGAGGGGCCCTGGGGATCAGATCCGAGCCCCCAGCCCCCAGGCGCCCCTTTCCCTTGGCCCTGAGCGCCCCCCCTCTGTCTCCACGGCCGGAGTTGAGTGGGGAGATTATGAATATTTACGCAGGCAGCGCGGAGCCCGGTGACGCATCGGAGATGCACAGCGCTGGCTGACTCATCAGACCTTTTCCAAACACTTGTGATATTTTGCTCCTCTGAAGGGACAAAAGTAATTACCAGCGAACATCAGCCGATGACGCCAGGAGGCGACGCAGGCCTTTCCGGCTCGTCTTTTCTGTGCCTGAGGTGTTTGTTATTTTTTAAAAAGAAATCTATGTGAACGATTTTCCCTTTTAATAATTTTGTTTTCTTCTGATTATTAAAACAACCTATGCTATAGGCTCATCCTAGAGAAACACCTCGTGTGTTACAGGAGATAAAATGTGTGTATCATTTTTCTATTATGGTATTATTAAAAGTATGTTTTGCAAAAGGAAGTTTGGAGCCCTGATTCATTCTATGCATGGAATACTGAGATGAACGCACTGCAGCATGTGCTTAGGGATGGGGGGGGGGCCATGAAGGTCTCAGGGGTGGCTTCTGGGGAAGGGGAGCTGGGAAATTGAAGCCACCCCAGGGAGTCCCCCAGAAGAGCAGTCCTGTCACCTATCTCATGGCCGCTTCAGGCAGCAGCTCTGCAGGTCAAGTTGGGGGCCCGGAGCTGCATTGGGGGCTCTAGGCCACCATGGAGGCTTAACTGGCCCAAAGTGTTGGGGTGTCTGGGGGGCTGGCCCCCGTGCTTGTAGACTCCTTTAGAGTATGAAGCGATCAGAGATACTGACAGCTCGAGTGTCACATTCCAGCTGTGTCATGGTGTGTGGAGACCACCGAATCTCCCCAGGCTGGTCCAGGGTCTCCTTAAAGGGCCTGCATTCGAGGGCAGGGGAGACCTCGGAGCAACTGACGCTTGAAAAGATGAAAAGTAAAAGCCCCATCATTGTGGTTAGGCCCAGAAAAGAGGAGAAATTGCCCTGGGTGATCCCTGGTTGTATGAATAATGAGAAGAAATTAAGTAAAGGCTGTGTTTCCTGACACTGATGTATTAGAACACAGAGTAACTTTCTGCAGGAAATTGGAACAGGGATCCCTCGAAATTGAATCTGAGGCCGTGAGTAGCAAACCTACGCTGGCCCTGGTGTCCTAATGCAAGTTAAATAAGCGGTTTGCCGGCTAGGAGTTAAGTGCGTCGGGGAGACAGGTTAATGCTGGGGCCAACGTGGCGCGGGTTAATAAGTTTCCTCTCCTGCGTATTGTCTGTGAAGATGCCGAGGAGTAATTTGCTTCCCGCGGAGCTGCTCCAGAATCCGCACACTTATTTTATTAGGTTTTGGGCCCAATACATTTGTTCCCTCTCATTGGTTTTGTTGATAATAATTACCTTCCCCCTTCCATCGCTCCGTGAGTCTCTCTTGATATTAATTGTTTGCAGTGGCCGCACGAAGCTTTACCACTGGAGAAAACAAGTGTTTAAAAATAAGAACATTCCGGGCCGGAGCCCTCCCGAGTTTCCAGCGGGGACCGGACGGCAGAGGGGCCTTGGGGCTGCAGGCACCGAGCTCAGGAGCGGCAGGACGAGCCCCTTCCCACACCTGTGCGGGCAGGTGCCTGGCCTCGGGTGGGCTGGGGTGGGGTGGAGGGTCCCCAGGAGCCTCCTTCGGCCTCTGGAGTGAGGCGGAGAAGGCCCAGGAAGGGAGCGTCATTGGTCACTGCAGCCACCAGCCAGGCCTTGATATCCGGCCTCTCTTCGCTTTGCAGGACTGGGCATCTTACCCGGGCTGTGGGCAGCTACGTAAGCCCTCTGCCACGGCCGGCACCTCAGCCCAGTGTTCTTGCGCACTCTTGATTTTGTTCCGCGGCCTGTGGCGGATCTGCCCCGACCCTGGTTGGTTTCCGGAGTTTACCCGTGTCTCTCGGGAACCACGCAGCGCTAAATGAGTTTCCGAGTGGCCTGTGCCGTTCCTTGTGATGCTGGTACCTCCCTGCCTTGTTCTGTGGTGCTGGGTGAAGAATCCTTTGGTGCCTCGGTTTCCCCATCTGTAAGCTACTGAAGACAATGACAGTCTCAAGTGCTCCTGGTGCCCAGGCCTTTGGGCCACAGTCACTTTAGCATCCTGTGGTCCTGAGAAACTTACTCTCAGGCACCTCTGGGAGTCCAGGAGATGGCGAGGAAAAGCTCTTTAACTCAGAGCCGCAGCCACATGCCTGGCTTATTGTCAGGGTAACCAAACAACTTAGCAAACACTGATGTGCTGACCCCGCCCCACTGGTTGGTTCTCAAATTCAGGAAGCAGGTTGAGCACAGCCTCTTCTTCTTCCTCTTCCTCCTCCTTTTTCTCTTCCTCCTCTTCTTTCTTATTATGGGTTAAAACTGGTGGTCAACTTGACACCAGCTGAATTAAATCAGCATGGTGCTGAGCGTAGATGTTCCACCTGAGGAAAGTTGCCAGCATAAACAGAGACGTGGAGAAGATGAGTGAGGCGTTGTGGGTTTCTCTGAGTGTTGCTGTTTGAGCCATTGGTTCCCCTCGAGGAGCCTGTCATGACTAGCTTCCCCAGTGTGAATTTGACAATTGTCATCGGAGGAGCTCAGGACCTTGTTGGTGAGAGTGGCTGTGGTTCACTTTGGGGGAGCTCTGGTCTATACATCGAGCATCGCTTCCTGGCTCCGGAGGGGAAGATGTGCGCTGTTTAATCTCCAGGAGAAGCTTGCTATGCTGGCTTCCTGGCATGTACTCGACCGTTCTTATCATCGGAGGAGCATGTCACTGAAGATGGCTGTGGTACCTTTCAGGACAGCCCTGGTCTTTGTTGTGAGCGTGACTTCTCGGCTCCAGCGTAGAACCCTCAACCGACCAGCACAGCTCCTTCACCCTGCTGGTGTGGACTTTCTGGCTTCCACCGCTGACCTTTGGCCCTTCCCAGCATGGATCAATAAGACAGACTGGCCTGAGACCTTCTCGTGGGCTCTAGACCTCTGGTTGGACTGGTGGGAGGCTTTGTCATGGGCTCTAGGTTTCCATCTGGACTCATGCAGGACATTGCTGTGGGATCCAGGCTGAATACTCTGGGTCTTTGGTGTTATGGACAGATTTCCTGCACTTCCTTGTGTTAACTCTGGGTGACCATCATAAAACAATAATATAAATTCTACATCCTGATTCTAATTGTTCTCACAACTCCTGACTGTAATGTTTCTCTCCTTCCCCTCCTCCTCCCTCCCTTCTCTTCCTCCTCCTCCTTGTCTTTTTGAGACAGGGCCTTGCTCTGCAGTTGAGGCTGATCTCAAGCTCCTTTGTAGCCCAGGATGGTCTCAAGCGTGCTACAGTCCTCCTGCCTCAGCCTCCTAGTGCTGGGATCACAGGTGAGCACCCCCGCCCCTGGCTGACACTGCCCCTTCTTTTTCCTGTTCCACGCTGATTTTCCCTTGATACTTTACGTCACAGCAGCCACTGGAAACAGCTTTGCAAGGCTGTGACATCACTGAAAGAAACTCGGAGGCAGCTGGTGGGCCACCTCTGCCGGAGGTCCAGCAGCCTGCGCCTCCCTGTGAAGCTAAATATCCTCGGTGCCCCATGCATTTCCTGTAGAGCTTTAGGGAGATGAAAGGAAATAGCCCTTAGGAAGTGCTTGGGCTCAGGGGTCCCTAGTTTGGGGTGTGCCGAAGATGTTGTTCTTAGGACGTCTAGGGTGGGTGCATACAGTTGCTTGCAATGTGCAAGAAAAATACAGAATTTCTGCATTTGTTATATTGAGGGGTTTTTGGTGGGGGCGGTGCTGGGAATTGAAGCCAGGACCTCAGGTAAGCTAGGCCAGGGCTGTATCATGCGCTGCATCCTCAGTCTACAAGATGAATCGAAACAGGCTCGCAGGCCAAGCTTACTAAATTAAACGTAAACACAGGCTTTCAACTGCGTCTTCAGCATCGCGGCAGGCAGCTGTGAGATCACCAGAGGCTCCAAAGCCTTACAGGCCACCAAAGCCTTAGAGGTTGTTCGGAACGAAGTGGAGAGCCACGGGCCTCGTAACTTCAGCAAACTAAATGAGCCTCATAGTGGTCTGATCTACCAGTCAGGCGACTGAGATGGTTGTTTTGTTTTGTTTTGGTGCTGAGGATCAAACTCATGACCTTGTGCTTTGCTGCTGAGCTATATCCCCGGCCCCTGTTTTTTTTTTTTAATGTCTTTTTTTGGTGCTGGGAATGGAACACTAGATCTCCCGCTTACCAGGCAAGTGCTTGAACTGCTGAGCTAAACCCCTGACCCCTTGATGTCTTTTTGAGACAGAGTGTCACTATGTGGTTCAGGCTGGCCTTGAACTCACTATGGAGGCCAGATTGGTCCTGAACTCACAATCCTCCTGCCTCGGCCTCCCAAGTGCTGGGATTACAGGTATGTGTCCCCACGCCCACCTCTGAGAAGGGTTTTGAGGAATCTTCACACTCATGTGACCATCGGCCCAGTCAGGAGGTGACCCATTCCTGGAACGGTCCTGGTGCTGTTTACCAGTCAATCACTCCACCTCCCACCTGTCCCAGGCAGCACAGATCTGCTTCCTGTCACCGCGGACCGTTTTCCCGTTTTAGCATTTCATGTGAACAGAATTACACCACATAGGGTCTCGCACGCCTGGCTTCTTCCCGGTGGCAAATGTTTTTGTGATCTGTCCACTGTGCCCATTTTGAGTGCTGAGTGGTGGTCTGCCGTTTGGGAACATGGTGTTCATTCATTTTCCTGGTGTGATGCTTGGTCTGTTTCTAGTTTGGGGCTATCAGAGATTGTGCTGCGGTGAAGATTGCTGTTTACAGATGACATTTCTCTTAGGTAAACATCCAGGAGCGGATGCTGGGCAGTTGTAGGGTAGTTGTGCCTTCACTTCTATAAGAAACTACCTGTCTTTGGTTTTTTGAGACAAAGTCTCCCAAGCTGCTCAGGCTGCCCCTGACCTCACAATGTAGTGCTGGCTGACAGTAATGCACAGTATCCTCCTGCCTCAGCCTCCTGAGAGCTGGGATTATACTGAATTTTCCTGGAAATAAGACTGGGTCTTACATTAATCCAAAAGACACAAGAGAGCTTGTTTTCTGGGGATGTCTTGTTTTTATTCATGTACCGAAATCCACGTTTACTCAAATACAGTCACGTCATCTCTGTTTAGACCACCCCCAACTCTCTGAGCCTGAGTTCCAGCCTGAGGTTCCCGGGCCCCCTTTCCCGCAGAGCCCCGCCACAGCCTGTCCTTCCGTGGACCCTGGTTCTCCGCGCTGTGCGTGATTCCATCCCACGGTTCTTCCCTCCACGGCCTCTCGCTGCCTGGGCTTCACACAGTCTCCACTAAATCCAGGGTTCACTGAAGGCTTCTGGCCAAGTGTGGTGGTGCACACCTGTAATCCTGGCACTTGGGAGGCTGAGGCAGGAGGATCACTGAGTTCAAGGCCAGCCTGGACAGTGCTGTCCAGTGCACGCGTCGTCTGTGTGTTGGGTCTGCCCTGATTGGCCATTTGCTGTGAGTCTCTAGTCCACCTGCTTACGTTGGGCTGCAGGCACCCACTGGGGTATTTACACAGACTTGGTTGTATGCTGCCATTTACTCTAAGTATTAGTATTTATATTGAATTGTGTTTTTTTAAAATTTCAAAGCATATCAGTCAGGGGGCAGCAATGGTATGCACACTGTGAATTGTCATCCCAAATCATTCACCTGGGGCTCAAGACACCTGCAGTTGTCTGAGCAGTACCAGCACAAATCTTCCTCTTCAGTGAACTCAGGGAAATCAGTAGTGTAACTATCTTAACAATATATGTGTGTGTGTGTGTGTGTGTGTGTGTGTATATACATATAAAATGTTCAGCTTCTCATACTAGCGAGACAAAACGATGTTTACTCATGTGAGTCTGATTTAGTTCACTTATGAGTATGGTCTCAAGTTGCATCCAATTACCTACAAAAGTCTCCAGTTTATCCTTCTTGATGGCTGAGTAGTATTCCATCATATAAAAATACCACAACTTTTTTATCCACTCCTCAGTTGATGGACACTTAGGTGGTTTCCCAGATCTGGCTATTACCAACGGTGCTGCTATTAACATGGGTGCACATTACTGTGGTATGATGTTTTTAATTCTTTTGGGAAGATACCCAGAAGGGGAACTGGGTCACATGAGACCTGCAGTCCTAGTTTTTTGAGGAATCTGCACACTGATTTCCGCATGGCTGCACCAGTCTGCACCCCCACCCACAGTGGAGCAGGGCTCCTTTTCCCCACAGACCCTCCAGCATGTGTTGCAGTGGACATGCTACATGCATCCATCTGGCTGACATTCTTTTTGTCTTTATGAGACAGGGTCTCACTGCGCAGTTCAGGCTGGCCTTAAATTCACATTGTAGCCCAGGCTGGTCTTGAACTCACAACAATCCTTTTGCCTCGGCCTCCTGAGTGCTGGGATCACAGGCCCACCACACCCAGCTTGGCTGACATTCTTAACTGGGGCTTAGTTTTGGAGGGTAGCGCTTATATTTCTTTTCTTTTCTTTCTTTTTTTGGGGGGGATCAAACTCATGACCTTGCATTTGCAAAGCAGGCACTTACACCACTGCGCTAAAACCCGGCCCCTGTAGGGCTTATGTTTCAAGCATCCTGAGAAATCGTGCTAGGACTTATTTTCCAGTTAGGTCTGATTTTCAGGGAAACACAGAAGGAATGTGCCACTACACCCGCCAGACACTGTCTGTTCTGAGTAGGAAGTGGCACTGCCTACTCACAGCCACTGCTGTACGACACCAGTGTTTCCTGGTGGCAGAGCGGGCCTGGGCAGGGAGACCACCTGCAGGTGTCCAGCTGACAGCGACAGAGGGGCGGTTGGGGAACAGGACGACTGACACTTGGTGATGGGTGGCACCAGTGGATGACACTGGCAGTCAGGGCGGTGCCAGGTTTGGGTGAAGTTCCCGGGATAGCACGGCACTCGCTGCGGTGCGATGGGATTCATTCCTGAGGGTTCTTGGGCTGGAAGCGGCTGCTGGTTGGTGATGTCGAGGTGGCATGGCTTGGTGGGGCAGTGGAAGGGGGCTAGGTCGCCGAGCGCAGCCCTGGTCTGTCAGTGGGGAGCGTGTTCCGGTAAAGAGGGTGAGGCGGCCCCTCCCGGCCCCTGGCTGCCTTCGGTCTCACTGCCCCGTGATCTCTCCGCCGTGCACCTGCACGATGGTGGGGTCCAGCAGAGCCTGGTGAACGCTGGCACCATCCTGTTTTACTAGAGCGACAGAAAGCAGATTGAGACAGTGCCACGTATGGAGCAGCTCGGATAGTGCAGATCCTCTCTCTCCACAATGGGTTTGTTTACACTGCAGGGCCATAAAGACAGCGTCTCCCTTGGTACAGGGGTGGAGCCGCCTCTTGGAGAAGATTGGGGCTCCTCTCTGCGTGCCCACAGTATCCAGGGCACACAGCTGACCCTCATTGCCCGGCTTGTTGTGCAGCATTGACTGTCACCCTGCTCCATAAACCCTCTCTGTGTCTGGCCCCGGGGTCTGTGTCTTCTGGGGGGGGGGGTGTGTGACACTCCAGCAGCTGGGCTTGCGTGCTGGCTCTTGGGCTGACCGCCGGCTTCACTCCTTTCCCTGCCCTGCCGCTGTCTGCTTCCTTCTGCCTCTGGCTGCAGAGGCACAGGAGGCAGCCGTGGTTCCAGCCCTTGCATGGGGAGCCCTTTTGATCTACGGGTTCACCAGGGTGTGACCACCTGTCACTGTTTTTTCCCTGTGCAGGAAGTGCCTTGTTTGGTTGTTGCTGGAGCCCATGATGGCTGTGGTTGTGACTCCTGTTGTTGGTTCCTGTGAACTGATTTTACTCCTTGGTTCCTAGATGACAGTATAGGACGCAGCCCTGTAAACAGTGTAGGTGGGAGCTGGCCCCACACCACCTGGCCCGGTCCTCCGCCCGCCTGGCTCCCCACTGTGTGCCTTGAGTTTTTCCAGTTGTTCCCAAGCACGACACGCCCTTTCCTGCCTTTGCCTTCTCAGCGCGGTCCTCTTTGCTGCCTAGGGCTGGGCTCCAGGGTCCCCTGGCTGTCTTCCCTCCAGGGAGCTCAGCTCCGGTGCATTTCCTTCTCTGGCGGATGGGGGCGCTGGAGACCGCGAGTTTTCCTGCCGTCACTGCGGCCTGGCGGGGGAGCTGCTGACTGCGGGAGCAGCCTGCAGAGGTGCCACCTGGATGCTGCAGGGTCGACTGCTACCGGCAGAGAGTGCGTTTGCTTCCCGCCCCTGCACCCCAGCAGTGACCCCAACTGTTCCTGCCCACTGCCCACCTGCGGTCACCTTCGCATGTGGGCTTCTTGGTGACCTGGCCCGACGCTGGCTGCGGGTGTGACTT